TTCCTTCCTTCCTTCCTTCCTTCTTTCTTTTCTTTCTTTTTCTTTCTTCTTTCTCTTTCCTTCTCTCTCTCTCTCTTCTTTCTTTCTTTCTTTCTTGAGACAGAGTCTTCCTTTGTCACCAGGTGCCAGGCTAGAGTGCAGTGATCTTGGCTCACTGCAACCTCCACCTCCCGGATTCAAGCAATTCTCTCAAAGGCAGTTTTATAATCAGCTGTAGGACTCTGACAGATCCTCTTGAATGCAGGTTTCTGTTAACTTTGGAGAATGTGGCGTTAGAATAGAGGGGAAAACTTTCAAGATTCCCATTGAGAGCTAATGTGTTCATGAAAATTGAGCAGAACATAAGTTAATTACATAGACTGAACTGATGGAAGACTGAAATAATCTTTTTATGACTTGTTTAAAACGTTGCTAATTCATTTGTGTTTCAGAGTCTAAAAACTCTTTTTTTCCTTCTGCAGTTTGGACTAGATCGTGAATTCTTTCCAGGCTACAGATCCCAAAGCTAATGCTTTCAAATTTTCTTCCATTTAAAAAATTTGGGCTCAATGAAATTACTACTATATTGTTCCTAGTAATATAGGCAAGAAAAACATGTCAGACTGCTACCACCTTCCTCCTCTAAAGATGCTTTGAGTCCAACATCTGGATAAATTGTGCCCAACATTAACCTTTGTTTTTCTTCTGTTTTCATAGAAATGGCTCTTATTGAAAATCTGCCTTCATCACATTCAGAGGCCTAGCCCATCTGCAATGCCACCTCCTGGATGGAACACAGCTAATTAAACTGATCTATTCTCAAGAACTAGACAGGGCTTATGACCACTATCATGAATATTCATAGCTGTTCCTGTAACTGGTTAAATATATATTTAGCCAACCTGCCATCATATCCATTACAATTGGCTTAATTATTAAGACTAAATGCTGCATATACATCTCAGATGATTCAGGAGATGGCTTGATAAGTCTGTGTATTAGTCAGTTCTCATACTGCTATAAAGATATTCCTGAGGTGGGATAATTTATTTAAAAAAGAGGTTTAATCAGCTCACCGTTCTGTGGGCTGTACAGGCTTCTGCTTTTGGGGAAGCCTCAGGAAACTTACAGTCACGGTAGCAGGCTAAAGCGAAGCAGGCACATCTTCACATGGCTAGCAGGAGAGAGAGCGAGACAGAGGGAGGAGAAGTTCTACACATTTTCAAAGAACCAGATCTCATGAAAATTCACTGTCATGAGAACAGCAAGGGGGAAGTCTACCCTCGTGATCCAGTCACCTTCCACCAGGCCCTTCCTCCAACATTGAGGATTATAAGTCAACATGAGATTTGGGTTGAGACACAGAGCCAAACCGTATTATCCTGCAAGACATGAACCAACAAATCAAAGCTATGTCTGACCCTACATTGTTGCTAGATCATCCAAATTCAGGTCAGGACTATTTTGGTGGCAGAAGCTACTTACGACTTTGGCCCTTGTGCAAGAACAGGCAGACTTCTGCATTGTGGATTTTACTGTCACTGCACCCTCTGCAGAGGAATGCAAGGCAGGCTTTCCCAGAGACTTTCTAGACCTTGTACCGATAATGCTCCAACAAATATTATCTGTAAGTCCAGGTACTCAGGAATATTTCCAACACCAAGTAGATTAGTTCTATTCTGATGCCCAGTAACTATGTCTCCATTAGCAGTAAGTACTTAGCTAGAATGAATACAGAGCCCAAATCCCATAGAAATGGAGTGGAACTTGGCAGTGAGGAATTGTAAGAGAGGACTCCCATTTTTCTAAGAGAGAAATGAATAATTAAAAGTTTTTTTCTCTTCTCTTTTCACAACTTCCTACTTACCTCTTTGGAAATGCAGTTGTAACCTTTTTACCTCCCCTAAGCAGACATTCCCTACAGGGCAAGCTCATCTAACTGTGCTAAAACGCTCTGCTGTGAAGCTCTCTTCAGCCAGGAGGTTGTCTAAGAGACAACAGTTCATGTATATCCCAAAGTATGCCCACTACAAAACTCTGTCCCACTTGGAGAGTTTTGGCCACCTTTATGATCTAGTTCTGCCCACAAAGGCACCAGTGATCACCAGCTCGGCTACCCATTAAATAAGGCAGTGAAGCAAGCTGTGTGGACCCTCCAGCTGCACACTTCCCCTGTGTGCCATTCATGTGAAGCCCCCTTTTAAAAGCACTCACTTTCTGCCCCAAAAGTGAAGTGGTGCCCTTAAGGCAGGATGTCTGCCTGTGTTCCCCTAAGTTAACTTTGGAATAAAAAATCACTTTCTTTATACCAGACCTCACTCTTGTTAATTGGACTCTGCAAGCAGCGAGCAACTGAACCTGCATTTTGGTTACACTTCGGTACATTCAATAACAGAGTATTTATCTTTCTTTCTTTTTGAGACAAGGTCTCACTGTCATCCAGGCTAGAGTGCAATGGTGCAATCATGGCCCAATGTAGCCTCAGTCTCCTGGATTCAAGTGATCCTCCCACCTCAGCCTCCTGAGTAGCTGGAACTACAGGTATGCGCCACTGCACCTGGCTAATTTTTAAAATGTTTTTGAAGACAAAGGATCTGTGTTGCCCAGGCTGGTCTTGAACTCCTGAGCTCAAGCAATCCTCCTACCTCAGCCTCCCAACTTATTGGGATTACAGGAATGAGCCACTGCACCTGGCCCGTAGAGTATTTTTCTAATATGTGAGTGGATGGATGGAACAACAGGCTGTGTGTATGTAAATACATTTATGTCTATTTGTACTGAGCCATTGAAATTTCTTTGAAACCGTCTTTAATTGCATCATATTTCATCCTATGAATAAACCATTATTTAACTCACGTCTACTGTTGAACATTTTGGTTATGTGCAGTCACTTTCATTCGGTATTCCCTGATGTCCCTACTTTTCTACCGTGTAGAAGCACTTGAAGAAACAATCAGGACAAGCCTCTCTTTCCATCAGTAGCCTTTGTGCCAAACAAGTGGGCATGCTTCAGATGATCACAGCCAGGCTTGCCTGGTGCCATATCCCCTAACATTCTGAACGCAGTGCACAGGTCAGCATTCCCAGTTGGTGTGCTCTTAGAGCATCACGTTTCAAAACTGGGCTCTGCTCAGTTTGACGTGTCAAAGCTGGAAACAGCAATGACTAAAGCATACTTTCTGTGGCCAGGGTAGGTGGGTGATGGTGAAAATGTAGGAAAGGTGGTGGCAGCATGCCTTCCATCCTTGAGCCACTTGTTTCTCTGTAACAATCCATTTTCTCTCTCCTTAATTTGGGATCCTTTTTAGTTGGGTGGTGGTTGTTATATTCTTTAGATATGATCAAACTCCAAGCATATGAACATTGCCTTAATTACACTTTGTAAATAATACTCTTATTTAAAAATTTTCCTCTGAATCCGCCTAAAATGCAGATATGGTTTTATTCATTATAATTTTACAGTGGCTTACTCCGCTGCTTCTGGAAGACTTCTTGGTTGCCCCACACCCAGATTAGGCAGCCTTTTCCTTTTAAACAGGAGTATTCAATATGTTGCTGTATCTCTGTTCTTGTTTCCCTTCCACTACTGTATGTAGGGAGTGGGTGGGACAGATAATTTGTCTTTAAAATTCACAGGTCTCCAGGAGAAGTTGAATCAAGGTCTGGTGTTGATCATGAGATCCTGGACATAACGTCGATGCAATCATTGGACGAGTCTTTTGGGATGTCTTGGGGAAGAGGATGAGTATATTTTTCCCAGCATCCAGGAAGGAAATGAATATTTATGATCCAGCCCACAGATCATGGTAGATTGGATTATCATTTTCAATTCTTCACTCTCTCCCGGTGTTTGGAGTTTGCAGCCACATATTTTGTTATATTACTTTACAGTATCTCCTGTTAGAATAGATGGTATCCATTTCTCTCCTGGCATTGGGTTTGGCTGTGTGAGTTTAGGTGGATAGAACATATGCCACATCTGAGCCGATGTTTTGAGAGCCCTTGCATAGTTCAGCCATTGCTCTTCACCATAAGACAGGTGTAGGCTACTCCTTCGGCCTGTGCCCTGGAAGAATGAAGATGGAGCAGATGTGTAACATGAGAAATGAACACTTATTATTGTAAGCCACTCAGATTTGAGTATAATTTGTTACTGTAGAATGACCTTGTGAAAGATGACTAATATGTTGTATAAACAAACACCAAAACAACAACAAAAACACATTTCAGGATATCTTGAGTTTTTGTTTTTCGAGATGGAGTTTCGCTCTTGTTGCCCAGGCTGGAGTGCAGTGGTATGACCTTGGCTCACTGCAGCCTCCGCCTCCCGGGTTCAAGTGATTCTCCTGCCTCAGCCTCCAGAGTAGCTGGGATGACAGGTGTGCGCCACCATGCCTGGTTAATTTTTGTATTTTTAGTAGAGATGAGGTGTCACTATGTTGGCCAGGCTGGTCTTGAACTCTTGACCTCAGGTGATCCGCCCACCTTGGCCTCCCAAAGTGCTGGAATTACAGGCCTGAGCCACCACACCTGGCCCAATATCTTGATTTTTTTAAAGTGTGACAGTGATATGTCTTGCTATGAATTTCTTTAGGTTGATCCTGTTAAGAGTTTGCTCAGCCTTTTGAGCCTGTAGGTTTCAATCTTTTGCCAGATCTGGGTTCTCTTCAGCCATTATTTCTTTAGGTGTTTTTTCGGCCCTACCTTTCTTCTCCTCTCCTTCTGAGATTCCAATGACACAATGTTAGATCTTTTCTCGTGGTCCCGCAAGTCTCTGAGGCGCTGATCATTTATTTTTTCAGCCTATTTTCTCTGTGTTGTTCAGGTTGTGTAATTTATATTGTTCTGTCTTCCAGTTCACTGATTCTCTCCTTTGTTCCCTCCATTCCGCTATTGAACCCTTCCATTGAGGTTTTTTTTTTTTCTGGAATTGTATATTTTAGTTCTGAAATTCTCGCTTGGCTCTCTATGTCTTCCATTTCCTTCATGAGAATTGTTTGTTTCAAGCATGTTTGTAACTGCTCACCAAAGTGTCGGTAGGATAGCTACTTATAAAATCTTTGCCAGATACTTCTAACTACTCTGTCGTCTTGGTATTCGTATCTACTGATTATCTTTTTTCGCTCAAGTGGAGATTTTCCTAGTTCTTGGTATGTCTAGTGACTTTCAACTGAAACCTGAACCTTTTGGATATTATGAGACTCTGGATCTTCTGTGTTAGCTGGCCGTTTTTGACACCGCTTTGGCAGGGGAAGGGCACCTAATTGGGGGCACACCATCACTGTCAGGTGAGCGCAGAAGTCTAGGTTCTCCACTTGGCCCTTGTTAACACCCAGAGTCGGGGAGAGTATCCTTATTACTGTTGGGTGGGAGTGTAGAGTTAGAGTTCCCCAGTAGGCCTCACTGATTACAAATACGTATACATATACAGATACACACACACACACACACACTGATTACAAATACATATACAAATACACACACGTGCACACACACACACACACACACACACCTTTTCTTAATCCCAAATTTGATAGTACAGGATAACATTAAGGTTGTTTGACCTAAGGGCAGGATTTAGTAAATATGTGAAAGATATCTCAGATGCATTCCCACAACTGGGGTGCAAGTCCAGACTTCCCATATGCTCTCCACTGACGTGGGGACACGATACGGTAGGAAGGTCTCACTCCCACTCACCGGGGATGCTGCCTACTTGGACTTCTCTGACATCACCCTGGACAGAGTGTGCTTCCTTAAAGCTTGCCAGGTGTTAGAGGACTCGGCGCCCCGGTCTGCATTTGCCGGCATGAGTGGGAGTGGCCCGCAGCATTTTCTGTGGCGTTTAGCTGGAGGAGACAGTTGCCTAAAAGCTTTCTGTCTTACTAGGCTGCCTCTTTCTTCGTTCCTTGGCTAGAGGGAGGAGTCTTTTTTGGAGATTATTTTTGGTCTGTATTCATCATTTCCAGGTAGCTGGCTCCCTTCAGCTCCAAGTCAGGGATTTCTGAAGCAAAGAATAAACCCGGGGAACTCAGCACCATGGCATTCCTTAGGTCCCAAGGTCTCTAGCTGGTCTGCCTTTGCTCCTTCTTTTAGAGTGTTATATCTGTTTTATATATAATGTTCAGTGTTTCTAGTTGCATTTTGTGGGTGGAATAGGGAGAAGAAATCTGTCTTCCCAGAAGCAGAAGTCTCCAATACAATGTGATTTTATTTATGTAAATGTTTAAAGTTATACATACTGTCACAGGTATGCATGTTTTTAATAAATGGATGCATATGTAAGCTGCAGGGAAATACAGCTGATCCACCCTAGTGTTGACAACTGCCCTTCCCTGATCACGACCACCCAGTCTCTGGCTCCTCACACTTCTTTAGCTTTTTTCTTATGGCATCTAGTATTACCTGTCCTCATGCTGTGTGTTTGTCTATTGTCTTTTTCCTCATACTAGAATGAAAACTCCAAGAGGGCAGGAACATTATCTGTGTTGCTCCCTGTTGCATCCTTAACACCTAGAATATGTAGTCAGCACTCAATAAGCATTTATTGAGAGAATAAATTAATGAAAAAATGAATAAGAAGATAAGGCTGGTGGCTCACACCCATAATCCCAGCACTTTGGGAGGCTGAGGTGGGTGAATCACGAGGTCAGGAGTTTGAGACCAGCCTGGCTAACATGGTGAAACCCCATCTCTACTAAAAATACAAAAAATTAGCTGGGCCTAGTGGTGGGTGCCTATAATCCCAGGTACTTGGGAAGCTGAGGCAGGAGAATTGCTTGAACATGGGAGGCAGAGTTTGCAGTGAGCCGAGATCATGCCACTGTACTCCAGCCCAAGTGACAGAATGGGACTCTGTCTCAAAAAAAAAAAAAAAAGAAGATAAAATGTATCAGTACTTTCTCTGTATTAAAACACTTTGAAAAGACTGAGAATATCACCTCTTTCTCCAATGAGAAGCACATGGAAATGCAAGGGAGTAGGGGAACACAGTTATGGGTGGAACACGGACTTGGATTTATAAGCCAATTAATGACAGATATCGCTGTTTTAAGAAACCAATTACTTGTAACACAATTCACAACTGATCAGAACACAAGTGGGAATGAGTACAGCTGGAAAGAAGCTTTCTATTGTTTTAATTCCTACTTTATTATTATTACTTAAAAATTGTTTTAAACAACTTTTAGGTTCAGAGGTACATGAGCAGCTTTGTTATATAGGTAAACGCATGTCATAGGGGTTTGTTATACAGATTATTTTGTCACCCAGGTACTAAGCCTAGTCCTCGATAGTTATTTTTTTCTGATCCTCTCCAGATGCTGGTGAGGTTGCGGAGCAAAGGGAACACTTATACCCTGGTGGTGGGTGTGTAAATTAGTTCAACCATTGTGGAAAGCCATGTGGCGATTCCTCAAAGAGCTAAAAACAGAACTACTGTTTGACCAGCAATCCCATTACTGGGCATATACCCAAAGGAGTATACCTCATTCTCCCGTAAAGAGATATGCACACGAATGTTTATTGCAGCATTGTTCACAATAGCAAAGACATGGAACCAACCTAAATGCTCATCAGTGACAGATTGGATACAGAAAATGTGGTACACCTACACCATGGAATACTCTGCAGCTGTAAAAAAGAACAAAATCATGTCTTTTGCAGGAAAATGGGTGGAGCTAGAGGCCATTATCCTTAGCAAACTACTACAGGAACAGAAAACCAAAAATCACATGTTCTCACATACAAGTGGGAGCTAAATAATGAGAACTCATGGACACAAAAAGGGGAACAGCAGACCCTGGGGCATTCCTCCTTTTCTAGGTAAGGTTTTCTTTTGGGATTTGAGCCTCTTTGGATTTGAAATTTAGCATAGGCCCGGAAGATGAATCTGACTTCTGAGTTTAATTTTTCCTAATCTCCTGGGGAGGCAGCATTGCCTATGAGCTAAGAGTACAGCGTCTGGGACAGTGCTATGGAGTGAATGTGTCCCCCAAAATTTATGTGTTGAAAACTTAATCCTCAGGGCAACAGTGTTGGGTAGCGGGGCCTTTGGAAAGGTGTTTAGATCATAGGGGTTCCGCCCTCATAAATGCCACTATCAAAAGGGCTTGTGGGAATAGGTTTGCTCTCTCTTCCCCTTCTGCCTTCCACCATGTGGGGACACAATAAGAAGTTCCACACCAGATGCTGTCACCTTGATCTTGGACTTCCCAGGCTTCAGAACAGTGAGAAATAAATTTTTGTTCTTTATAAATTATTCAGTCTCTTGATATTCTGCAATACTAGCACAAAACAGACTAAGAAAGCCAGCCTGCCAGTATTCAGGTTCTGGCTTGACCATTGACTCATTAGGCAAGGGACCTAATCTGTAAGCCTCAGTTTTCCCATCTATAAAATGGGAATAATAATAGCATCTACCTCTAAGGGTACCTGTAGATTGAATTATTACTTACAAAATGCTTAGAATGGTGTCTGAAACATTGTAAGAGCTCAATTAAAATTGGCTATTGCCAGCCTCTTGTTAATAGCTTATAAGATTGAAATGATTAACTATCCAGGTGAAATACAAGCTGAATGAAACTGAAGCCAGGCACTTTTGTGGTTGGCCACAGTAGGCAAGACACGATGACTGTGGTCACCAACTGCTCAGAACCCACCCCTGCCAATACAGGAAGACTTTACAGAGAAGACCCTCAGCTGAAAGAGGTGCCCACATTCTGCCTGGGTGTTAGCAAAAGAACGACTCATTAAAAAAGACAGGTAAAGAGCGCAGGGAGGGGCTTCACCAATCTGGCTGTCCTTTCCAGCCCTCGTTCTCCTCTCACACGCTGTCCTGCCTTGAGAGCAAGATTTCCTCCCTTTCCCTCTCTGACCTCAGACGCTCCCCACTCTGAGTGGGTCTGTTTCATCCCTCTGCGCTCTGATCCTGCAGGGATCCTTGAGGAGCTGTGTCAGGCTGAACTCTGGCGTTTGCAAAGCTGATGGTCACTAGGAGCAGCCAGGGCTTCTCTGGGGCAGGCCGGGAGGGAAGCATAGGAGGGGGCCCTGCTTTAACTTCGGCTTTCAGTCTGTTGGAGAAGACTCAGGATTTCCTGAGCCTGAAGCCAGAATTGCCATCAGGTGCTCTGTTAGGCCTGGGAGTGACGACCTTGCTGCAGCGAGGATTACCCTGGGACAATCCAGGCTTGTTCGGCTCTATCCCAGGTCTGTGAGGTGAGCAGCTGCCCAGCAATCCTACTGCCAGTGTTCAGTGAGACGGCACATGCTCACTTTGTTCCTGCCTGTGTCAACTATAGCCAGCTTTGCAGTCTCAACCACTGGGTCTAACCTTCTTGGCCTTTTCCTTTACCTCAGCTCTGCTCAGTCTCACACTTGTCCTTCAGTCCCGACCTTTGATTGTATTCTCTCAGAGTTAACCCTAATTCTGGCCTTCAGGTCTCCCTAACTATTATTCACAGCCACCCCTTGGACAAAGCCTGATCCCTGCTGCCCCAAGGAATCATATGTTTTGTCCGGATCTGAGCCCTGGATCCTGCCCCATCGCAGGCTCTTGAGGCTGGTTGGGGAGGGAATGGAGCTGGTTCTAGGGACCTGGCTGTATGCTCAGGGCTGACACTGTCATATAAAATGAACCTAAGCCCACGTGGCACTCACTGTCCACCCCAACCATGGCTGAATCAGAGGTGAGGCCAAGAGTTTGTGAGTGGAGCACCAGATGAGTCTGCTGGAAACTTTCAGATCCCTGTAGGTGGGGGGTTAGACTTCAGCTTGTTACATAAACCCAGGAGGCACTGAAGACTGCCCATCCATTAAACCAGAAGTCAAAAAACCCGAAAACCAAAACCCTCTGTTACCCAGTCTGGGAAAGCAGAAGCTGCACTTTACCCAGGTCAGTGGATAGAAGAAGCGCTGCCCTGAGCAATTCGAGGCTCAGCCTGGACCGTGTGAGTGTGTGAAGTTCAGATTCACACCACTTGAGTGATGCAGGAACATAAAGTCATGCAGGAACTCCAGGCAACGGATGGAACATAAGCACTGCCCTGAAGCCCAGAGAACCCCAGCATAAGCAGATGAGAAGCTAAAAGATGCCTGCATATCCCAGGGTGCTGGAACTCCCATGGAGAATCACCCTGCAGAAGACGAGCTGGCAGGAAAGATTCCAAGCCATGAGAGGAAATGAATTCGTGAGAGGGAGCAGCTACAGACACACAAATAGGATTGCGCCCCCAAGAAAGAGAGACGTTAACCAATCCGGACGAAACCTTACACAGGTGCACAGAGGAAGTGCAGGTGTTGTGAGAGC